CTTGCCACACCATGTTGTCTAAGGTTCTAAAAGATGGCAGAGATAATGCATACAAGGTATAGACCTAACTCCATGAATGTCAGTTCCATCCTCTTTCCTTGGAGCTGTGGGTATAGAGAGAGAAACTCTGTTTCTAGGAAAGGCTCCAGGCCATCAGCATCCTCCTCCAAAGAGGCAAACCAGCAAAAGGATGCTGACATCGTTTTAAAATGACTCAATATAGTTTTCATAAATATATTCCCACTAAGTCATCTTATTTCTAAATTATGTATAGAGAACATAAAGAGCAATTCAATATATATGTCAAATGTTTTATACTTTCCATATCTAAGTTAAACACCAAACATGTCTATATACCTCAATCCTTTGTTGTGAATAAACAAAGAGGGGAGCTAGAACTAGGAAGAAAAAAAGGATACATTCTTTTTCTCTCTCTCTTTTTTTTTTCTTGAGATGGAGTGTTGCTCTGTCACCCAGGCTGGAGTGCAGTGGTGCGATCTCAGCTCACTGCAACCTCTGCCTCCCAGGTTCAAGTGATTCTCCTGCCTCAGCCTCCCCAGTAGCTGGGGCTACAGGTGTGTGCCACCATGCCCGGCTAATTTTTGTATTTTTAGTAGAGACGGGGTTTTGCCACGTTGGCCAGGCTGGTCTCGAACTCCTGAACTCAGGTCATTCATCAGCCTTGGCCTCCCACAGTGCTGGGATTACAGGCATGAACCACTGTGCTCAGCCAAATGATTTTTTCATCTATAAAATGGAGTTGGGATAGATGAAGAATATGAACTTTAGCCTAAAAATTAAGTGACTTTAAGATGCAGAGATTGAGGGAAATAATATAATGACAGAGATGTTTATCTACCAGAAGACAGAGTCATGTAGAATAATTTAATGGCATGACTATGTAGTGTTGTCACTATATATATTGCTAACAAACAAGTTACAGTGGTTTTGCAAACTCTGGCCATGGGACAAGGTGTCATCACTCCACAGAAAAGAAACTGGTTTGCAGGCAGTATGTTACCCAGTACTGTGATCACACAGCAGAGAGCAATGAGATGATGCGGGGCAGGAGGGTGCCATAATACCACCATTCCCTGACTCTCTGGAAAGTATTTGCTTTTATCTGATTATGCATATAATCCATTAACATTAATGATATAAAAATTTTGAGCATAGACATATCTCTGGTAGAAACAGGATTTGAAACTAGCATCTCAAATCTCAGGTTTATCTCTTCCTCTGCTTCACAGAAGTTGGCAATTGTTAATCTTCGTCACCAGCCATGACAGTGCTGTTTAAAATGCAGATTCCCTTGCCCCACCTGGGAATCTACATTTTGACACGTTCCCCAGGTAGATTCTTGTCCATACTAAATTGATGGTCACTGGGACTAACCCAGAATAAATCAGTGGTAATAGGAGGTGTGTGCTTTCCATGATAAAATTAACAAATTAAAATGAGTCTTAAAGATAAGGCTTTATGTCTAGATGCACATTATATAAATTTATATATCTATACAAGGTTGTGAGGGGAAGGGAACCAATATTAATTAATTGCCTGCTACGGTATATAGAGATCCTGACCAAATTATATATTAGTCAGTTTTCCAAATAATCCTATATGAGTTACGGATGGAAAAAGTCAGGCTTAGAGAGAAACTCTTCTAAAGTCACAAGTCTGGAAAGTGGCCCAGCTAGGTTGTGAAACTAGATTTATCTGACCCCAGTCTCCTCATTCCATTGTACTAAGCTCATATGCACGTGAAAACACGCAGACACGCATATGTCATACAATAGCCATATGGTAAAAGGCAATGGAATGACATTATTGTTAGAAACTTTTTGCATCAACAGAAATGTAGTTTTTAAAGGACTCATTCTATTAAGGGATATTCTTTAATTTGTATGCTGACAACAGAATACAGTGTATGACTACTATTAAAACCACATTTAACAGCTTGAATTTTCATAATCAGAAATGTGTTCTGGGACTTGCCGGGGACAAATTTAAGAGTGATTCTTGATTTGTGTAAGCTACACACTTATGTAAATTAAACCACTTAATATTCATCATATACATCATATTACCTTAAAAAGGAAAACACCAACAATGTAACTTCGCACTTGTCAATCCAAGGGTCTTCCTAAGCTCATCCCTCACCTTCCAGGGTCTGACGTACCTGGTTCCCTCCATTGGGAACCTCCTTCCGCTGGCTTCTGGAATTGCATTCCTCCATGGTTCTTCCTTACTGTCTTGCCGGACTTCTATCTGCCTCCCTGGATCTTCCATTCTTTTCGCAAAAGGCTCCATCCTCAACCATTTTCCCCCTATATTCTCTCTCAACAATCTCTTTTCCCGTCTCTTGATATTCTCTCTCAACAATCTCTTTTCCTGTCTCTTGACTTTTTGTTATAAACCAAAGACTCCCAAAGGAGCCCTGGCCTTCCTGTGGAGCACAAAGCCCCCTTCTGCCTGGGAGACAGCATGCTTCAACACTGCAAACACAGCACCTCTAAAATGTAGCTCCTTACCTCCTTCTGAGTTTCTTCCATGGGTACTACTGCTCTGGAAATCGCAGTGTCAGCTTTAGCTGTTCCTTCTCCACTGACACATCAGATTCTGTCAGTTCTTCCCTCTGCATCTGTTCCTTTCCCATTTCATTGTTATCAACCATTTCAGGCCTTTCCTGCCCCTCTTTTTCCTTGGTGGGTCATAGCAGCTTAACTGGCCTTCTGGCCTCTAGTTTCTGCCCTGCCTCTCCTCCTGATCTCCCCCAAGCTACTCACAAGAGCCTGGTCCTGAAGCACAGCCACAACACTCCCCTGTTCAAGTATCTTTAATGACACCTATTGGTTAATGCATTCACATTTCCTAATTGGCATTCAAGACTGTATTCATTTGGCACCGAATGTTCTACAGTTTTGATGCCTGTATATAGACCAGTTCTAACTCAATTGGACTTGACCCTTTTCCCTGAATATGCTCCACGTTTCTCCATCTCCTACTAGTCCTCCTATCTCAAATGCCTCTTCCCTGTTCTTTTATTGAAATGCCACATCATTCAAGGACTTGCTTAGATGTTTTTTTCTCAAGAGCCTCTTGACTGCTAGGGATAAAAGGGACCCCTTCCTCCTCAAATTACCAAAATATCTTCTTTTTGCATTTATCAGATGGTTATTTCTGCATATCTTCTTTCCTCAACAGAGTCTGAGAGCGAAGAGACCAGATTTTTGTGGCAGCTGAATTCTCCATTCTCTCTAGCACAGTCATACTTGTAGTGGATTGCTGTACAGCATTCATAGAACACCTTAAAGTTTACAAAGCATGTTCACATTCAACATCTCATTTGTTTTATTTGGGGATTAAGTTATTACAGGTAGCATTCAAGTCTTGCAATTTGATTTCTGTGGCTTATTGCAATTCTTAGAGCTATCTCTAATTTTCTACCTTATAAATTAAACAAACATATTTCTTAAATTACTTTACTTTTGAATACCCACAGTCTTCTGTGGCCTACAAAGCTAAGAGAAGAGAACGTTTCAAATCAAACAAAACCCCCTTGCCAAACTGCTTTTTCTTGGATTCTGAGTTAAATGTACAAATAAAAAGGCCTCTATAAGCAGGTAACAAGAATGACAAAATCAAAATTTTAAAGAGAAGTGTGAAATTCCTTTCTAAAGATATTAAGACTTTTTAAATGGCTTTCCTATATATCCATTTGGAATTCTACGTATGGGTCAATCTCCAACATCCATGAGCTGACGTTCCAGCATATTAACAATAGAAAATTGCTAACAGTTGAACAACAAATTCTTTGCTAAGAGACTGGAAATGACTAATATGATTGTAAAAACAAATCTGTCTGGTCTTGAGCACCCAAGTGCCTTGTAGAAGCTCAATAAACATTTGTTGATGAAAAATAAATCAATGAATTCAGAGAAGGCCTTACTATCATTTATAAATTGAGGGCATAAGTTTTAATAGATGGGCGGAAGTATAGATTTAAATGGAGAAAAAAGAAAAATTGAATTTAGAGGTAGAAATTTTGGTATGTCTATGACTCTGGTCTGTCCCTGTGATGGACCCCACTCTGCAACTGCTGGAGAAGCAGGGAAGGAGGTGGGGGTGAATGGCAAGCACCATCCATCCTACCGTGCCTCTCTGGAATCAGGCTGCAAGCTCCTCCAGGATGGTCACTTTGCAGTGCTGGCACAGCGCTATGCCCACAGAAGGGACTTCATACATGTAGTATGAGATGCAAAGCCCTCCATGACCTGTCTCTATTTTCACATTTCAATCCTTTACGCCTATTCTTCCTCACCTCATAGGGCTATCGTGAGGGGTAAATAAAAAATACTGTGCTTAAAGCCCTTCACACACTGCCTAGCATACACAGGCATACAAATGCTTGATAAATGGTAGTTGTTATTGTCACCATCTGGGACTTTGTATATGGCTCCAAGGTAGAGCTTAGTGTGTTGGGCTGTCAATACTTGGCTGTGACAGCTGCAAGTGTCCTGGGGATGGTCTCTTCACATTTGTATACTCTGTGCCTAGCAGAGCGCTCACCTCACAGAGGGCCCTGAAGCTGGCTACGTGACTGAGCAACGAAGATCCAAGGTCCAGTCCTGCCTTGACCCCAACTCACTGGGTAACCCTGAAGCGTCATCTAAGCTCTCTGGGCCTCAGCAATGTCAGTGCATCCTTCCAGCCTTGGGAAACTAGAGATCTGTGAAGAGACATGTAGAAGACTCCAGAACAATTGCTGACAGAACTGGAACGAGAAACCAGCTGTCCTAAGGCCTTGATCTCCTAGTTCCCCTTCATCACGGGGGCTTTACACATCCGGTCTCCCAGTAACACATCACTTGAGTGTCATGGTCACTTTGTAACCCCAAAACTTGATGGATTGCTGTCTTGAATCATATACCCTTTGGGAGTCCCTCAGAAAGACCATTTCCTGTCTCATGTAGACTAAGGAGAGACGCGAATTTAGTTACCTCAGTTAGAACGGACCAGCTTTAACAGAGTTAGATTCCTGTGCTTTGGAAGAAATCACTTGAAAATCCTTGGTTCTGAGTCCTCCATTTCTTCCACATCAAGATCTAAAAAGAGAAAGAAAAGTGCAGTGTCCCATGACTAGCTGCTAGGATTTGATGTTTTAGCAACAATAACTGCAATCAGCACATATTGAACACATAAGTCAAGCACCCACAAAGTGGTTGACATATGTGGTTTCGTGTTGTCTTCATAACAACCTTCAGATGTAGGGAACATTCCCCCATTTCACAGCTATCGAAACGGCGACTCTAATGGGCCACAGAACCTGTTCGAGGTCACACAGCTGGTTTATGTGACAACTAGGACTCAAATCCAGATTCAATTGATTCCAAAGCCTGGGCCATTAACCAGTAAGTCAGGGTTTTAAAAACTTTTCAGCCAGTGACCCACTGTTTTAAAAATTTATGTTATATAAACTGAAAACCAAAAGTCTCATAAGACAATGCTTACCTCCACTATGTGCAATGCATGTTATTTTCTATTCTCTGTTTCTCTGTATTGTACTGTATATTCTATATCGTTAAGAAGATTTCCAGTAGCAACCCACTAAACTGATCCCAGAGTCTTCTAATGGGTCCCCCACTCTTGAAAAACACTACACTTAGATATAGCGCCTCACTAGCTGCTTCTCTGAAACCAGGACAAAACTCTTCCACATTTTTTAACCATGAGAATCTGACCAAGTAGTTGAGCTTCACAGAAGAAGTCTTTAACCTTTAAAATGTGTATAAGGCACTATAACACATATCACCTATAATCGATCCTTAGAAGGGATACTCAATTAGGGCCAACGTCCAGAATGGAATTAGGCACTTACCTACCGCAGTGCAGGAGTTATAAAGCGGAACCGCGGACAGACTAAAATCTCAGGTGATTTATGATGTACCCTACAAAAAAGTGGCTAACGGCGGGCGGTTGTGTTGTATGTTGTACCAACAGAGCAGACCTAACTACTGCAGAAGTAGGCGGCTGAGACTGCAAACCCCTGGGGGCAGGGCTCTGCCTTTGCACGTCCCGTTCAATTCCAGAGTCTTGGTGTTGCATCAAGGAAATTATCAAGTTCCCGTAGGGTCAGGACTAGGGTCCGATTCTCAATCCAGGAGACGGGAGGTGTGACTGTCAACGCAGTGCCCGAGCCCGCTGGACTCGAGCCCACCACGTCCCCAGTCCCGGGAGCGCATTCCTCCTCGGCCCCCGCCCTCTAGCACAGCCGCGCAGTTGGGCCACGAGATGCGGCGCAACCTGCCCGCACTCTCCAGCCGAACCC